TGAAGGAAAAAACAACTGATGATTTCAAATGCTTTCAAATTTGGAAAAAGTATGTGTGTGGTGTGTGCGTCGTCAAAAACGGTTGGACCGATTTCAAAAATTTAAACGCCATTCGATGTATCTCGACGAGGACTAGCGTTTCTGAGTTTTGTGCGACGATCGGCCGGGCCGTTTCTTTGTAAATTGCAGAAAAGTGAAAATTTTTTCGTCTACGTTTTGGCCCGCAATTCTGAATCAATTTTGGAAATTCAAAAACCGTTCGAAAGATATTGGTTGGGAATCGTGCTGATTAGTTTTTGGTAAAGATCGGCCGGGCCGTTTTCTTGTAATAAAGTGTTAAAAAAATTTTTTTCGACGTTTTTAATTGTTATTTTTTTGGCGATAGATACCATGGTCTTCTAGATCATACTAAAATATTTCGGCCCTACGACAACTCATTTAACTGTAAAAATTCGTCAAAGTTTGCAAAAATTGGTTTCGTTTTTTTGGCATTTGTCAAAATTAGACCTTTGATCGACGTTTTCTCAAAAACGCCTGAACCGATTTCAGAAATTTAAAAGCCATTTGATGTATCCTAATGAGGACTATCGATTGTCAGTTTTGTGAGACGATCTGCCCAGCCGTTTCTTTGTAATTTGAAAAAAAGTGTTAAACTTTTCGTCCACATTTAACCTTAAACTACCGAACCGATTTTAAAAAGTCAGAAACTGTTCGAAAGATATTAGTTGGGAATGATACTGATTAGTTTTAGGTGAAAACCGAGCCGTTTTCTTGTAATTAACTGTTGAAAAAAAATTAAGACGATGTTTATGGAACTTTTTTTGGCGATATATACCATGGTCTTATAGAACTTACTGAAATATTACGGCCTTACGACAAGTAGTTTAATTTTAAAACTTCATCAAAGTTTGAGAAAATGAGTATTTTTGTTGACGTTTGTTAAAATTAAAATTAGACGATTCACTTGGTATAACGATAGAGTACTTGGTCTTAATGAACTTAATAAATCATTAAAGTCCTACGGAAACTGGTTCAATTAAAAAATTATTGATTATTGAAAATTTGCTTTTAAAAAATACTCCGAGTTTGTTCGTTTTCAATTATGTGTAAATCCACTCGGAATACTTTCAATCACTCATAAATTAATTCATTTTTTATTGATTAAGTCGATTATTTACACATATCGGGAAGTTCATGTAACTTGCCTCAAGGCTAAATACCAAACCAACTAGTTTTTAAATGTTATTACAATTTCAAAATTATATTGTTGATTTGAGAAAAACAGAAACCTGATAAAATTTCAGTTTTTTAACTGTAACTGCTTATGGGCAAATTGTAAATAACTTTAAATCTTTAAATATAACGATTATGTTCAGACATAAAATGACTTTCTTAATCGTGACAACATATTGGCATGTTGTATTCAAAATCTATTTATACCAGTAGATAAACGATAAAATTATCTAAAATTAGTATTCAAAACAATTTTTCTGTATCTAAAAAAATTAAGCAACGGCAGGCTTTAAGAGCAATAACATAAATAAAAAAAATTAGTTTGTACAAAATTTTACTTTTTTATTCGTGACAACCTATTGGCAATTCGTATTTAAAATCCACTAGATTATAGGTAAAATTATCTAAAATTTATACATATTTATACATTTATATTTTTGTTCATGTATAATTAAATAATAGAGCTACAATTTACAATCATACATTTATGTTTTTGAAAATAACAACCCTCAGAGCAAAAATCATATTTACCAACCCTCAGTGCACGTGGCTAACCAGATTTGATGTATATTTCTTAAAAAGTTGTTAAAGTATCTATTTACAAATAAAACTTATAAATTTATTAACTAATTCATTTATTAAATAATTAATTTAATTTCGTAAGAATATAATTGAATTAAATTCATTACATAATAAACGTAAAGTGATACTTTGAATTATAATTATATATATATATATATATATATATATATATATATATACAGGGTGTGTGTGAATAAATCTTTGTGAGATATCGAATATCAAATTAATTTGAAAATTCCCTTTTCAATGGAACTCTCGAATAGAAATCCCCTGAAAGGAAGATATACAAATCTGTTCATAATATTCCTGTTGAAAGCGATCTGAATAATATATATATATACGAACATGTATATATATATATATATATATATAATAATGTATTTATAAATACCTAATACATCTTCAAATCTGTAATAACTATTCGTACACTAAGGGCTTCAGTCGTTTCTAGAAGCTTTTAATAAAATTTGAACTTTCTGGTAATACTTTTACATATTCAAAAGTTTGTAACTTCGATATTTTATTAGATACAAAAAAATTAATATAGAGATAATTTTCTCTATTATCTAACTGTATCAATAAATTTTGGATACGACTTACCAAAAGGTATAGCAATCAACAAACAGAAATTTTGTCCGAACACAATTGTCTTGTTTAGTAAGAAATTTAAGGCAATAATTAGTTTTGATGGTTTGTAACTTCTTTATTTTATTAGATAAGGAAAAATATTTCTAAATACAGGTTTAAGATAATTTTTTCTATTATTATCTAACTGTATAAAAACATTTTGGATACGATTTGACAAAAGGTTGTTACGATTAAAAAATCCAACATCTGTCACAATTTTGCCTCATTTTTGGTTTTAGTTCACTTTATGCATCAGAACTCAAAAACTAATTACTGTATCTATATACAGTTTTCTGGTATATAAAAGCTAATAAAATACTTTACAACCTTGCCATACATCATCGTATTACAAAATTACAATGAATGTGCCAAAAATGCATTAGGACTTGATGAACCCTAAAAGTTGTCATAATAGACATTCTAGTGTTAAATGATTATTTATTGCATATTAATTTATCTATTAATTATTATTAATTTTTTTTATACATTTAATGCAGTTTTATATTTATCGGAAAATCGAAACCACAAAGTATTTACCTTTGAAGAAAAAAGAAAGCATTTCCAATTTCTTTTTGAAGTTTTAACTTCATTGTTTGTGAAATACAATGAGGTCGAACTTAAGATCCTTTTTTCCTTTTTTTAAAGGAAAACTGTATTAGTACGATGTGAAAAGTTCAAAGAAAAATATTAAAGGATATATATATATATATATATATATCCTTTGGCTTCATCATAACAATTAAAATTTTATGTCATATTTATTTGTGACCTTGTAACTCACGATTTAGTGGAGATAGTTCTAATAATTTTTGGTACGGGAAGTTCCAGCAATTTGCCTTAAGGCACGATGCCATGCACCACTAGTTAGTCTTCTCTTTTATAAGAATTGTAGTATATGAATTTATATTATATATATAAAATATGTTTTCATTTTTTAAATCCAATAATTAGTTCAGAAGAAATTTTTGTTTTGCCAACACCAATTTATATATACATACATATATATATATATATATATATATACATATATATATATATATATATATATGTATGTATATATATTTGTATTTATATTTATTTAAGAAAAGTTGGAAATGTCAACCGTGAATTAAAAAGTAATCAATTTTAATTAGTTCTTTAATTATATTAAAAAACTTTCTGAACGATGACGAGACAAAAATAATGAAATTATAACAAGATCTTTCCTCTGTATATATACATATACAGTTGTTTTCTTTTGCTTTTTATGAGTACACCGAGTTGCTGTAGGGCATTATGGTGAAAGACAATATTGTAGATTATTTAATTTTGTACAAATTTGTCGAATACATTATTTGTATTAATCGAATGGTTCAACAGTTTCAATATATGTATATAAAAAATAAATGTACAATAATAATAAATCAGGCACTTTGGATCATAATAAAATATTTTCAATTGCGATTTTAGGATATATCGAGTTGCCCTATAAAAAGGCAATTTTTTAATTCAGGAGGGCCAATTAAAATATGACACCATTTTAACCCATTCGCTTTGAAAGTAGATATTTTAAAGAAAATTATACTCGGGTTTAAAAATCAATGTTATGATGAAGATTATTTATATGTTCTGTGAGCATTGTTTTATGCTGATTCTTATTTTTTAAATTATTTCTATGTTGAGAAATTCTTTTGTGTAAATTGGCTAGTTTAGCCTTTATATTTATACTAGATGACCCAACAGACGTTGTCATGTACCCACGTCTACAATTCAAAAGTTCCAATTTTTTTAATATTTTATCCTATACTTTTTAATATCATATTTGATGTCCTGCCTTTATGATTCATTTATGGTCTTAGCATAAGCAGTATAAGAAATTCAGAAAAAAAATAATGTAATATCTGCAGTAAAAGAACAATATCACACTTGATTTTACCACACAACATAATTACTTCAATAATTTAGTCTATAATTTTCATATTCTCGTACGATATATTAGTTGCTTTCTGGCAATTATAATTTCTAAAGTACATTTTTCTTACTAATAATTTAATGCAATTTTGGACTCATTGCGTTATTTATTAAACTGAATTATAAAATTTCATCTGCCAACATATACCGTTGACTATATCTTATAATATTTTAATCTCTGGCACATCTGAACTGCTTTTTTCGGCAATAATAATGTAGACACTACATTTTTCTTGTATATTATAATCTAATATTAACTAGGCTCATAACTTCATCTAAATTCAAATTTCAAGTGAATTGGCATTTCTAGCAGATGACAGTTCAATTGTTTTCAATGTCAAACAATGATAAGTAGTTTTTACGTAATTTTTGCCATTTATTTCTACAATATTACTATAGTTTAATCCAATATACAATATACTTATAGTTCACTAAATCTTAAGAATTTCCTTTGACAAACTCTAAAAAGAATTATCAAAATCCGAATAACCGTTTAGGAGAAGTATCAAATCATACACCCATACAGAAGAATTTTATATATAAGATATATATATATATATATATATATATATATATATATATATACATAAATAAATATAAAAACTTACCGTGAATCCGATTCCAACTGTTGCACTGAAGGTTCCTTGTTGGAACTTTCCAGTATCGAATTGTACTAGTAAAGAAGTTTTGCCTACGCCACTGTCTCCTAATAGTATTGTCTGAAATAATAATAATAATAATAATAATAAAAATATTAAAAATAAAAATATAAATAATAATAATAATATTATTATTATTATTATATTTATATTTATACATTAAAGAGCCAATTCTCCGGTAAAGTAGAAACGTTATGACAACGCAGTATTACGGGTCTATATTCGTATGAGTTGGTAGCAACGAACTGTTAAAATGCTGTGTATTTGGTGAGCGATCAGGCGTTTTAAACATAAAACCTGAGGTCCAAAACCACAAACGTTAAACAACCTTTTGGTCATAAGTGCAACTTTCTGGTGTTTCATTGATAACACATACGTGAAGTTAGGTTTTATGGTTAAAACGCCTGATCGCACAGCAAATACATAACTTTTTGATGGTTTGTTACTACCAGTTCATACGAAGATTGAGCCGTAACATACTATTTTATACGAGAATGGTCTCTATTAATTCTTAAATAATTATGTCGCCATCTAGCGATAAGCTTGTGAAACAAATAGCAATTTCTGATATGGTTAGCTTGACCGCCATATTGGTTTTAAAAGGCTTCTTTTAAGTAAAATTATTTAGATTTGAATATTAAGAGCTTTAGATCACACTTTTTGAGTTAATTATTATATTGAACTAGTTGGGTGTATGGCATCGTGCCTTAAGGCAAATTTCTGGAACTTCCCGTACCGTAACGAAATGTTCGAGGAGTACTGAATGTTTTGAAATAGATTATTATTAATATTGTAACATTGTCTAATATTTATAAGAATAATATAAACTGAATTCCAAAGTTGAAATTATTTGTTCAAAAAATATTACAACTTTAGTCAAAAACTAGTGGTTTATGGCATCGTGTTTTAAGGCAAATTGCTGGAACTTCCCGTACCGTAATGAAGTATTTGAGAAATTGTAAACGTTTGCTAATATATTATTACAAATACTGTAACTTTCATTATTTTTGATAGCTTTTGTTATATCTGAGCAAATCAAATGTAAATCATCAAATCAATTTATCTCCGGAACATTAACAATCGTCATTTCATTTCGAATTCAATTTAAAAAATAATTGCCTAATTTACACAAAATTGATAAAGCGCTCCCGTATAGTCACAGTCTAAACGCATTTGCAGATAATTCTGTGCGACATTTTCACTTATACTGTTCTTAGCTCAGCGGCATTTTCACATTTTTCAATAGTTTTCACAAAATTGGAAAAGTGCTCCAGTATACGTGAGTGCAAAAATTTTCATTTTCGATCTACGGGAAGTTAAAAAAAAACGTGACGAACAGACATAAAGACGAACATGTTGGTTGAGTTCTGGGACAACCCTGCACATGTATATTGGTAAATACTTTTATATTGGTAAAAAAATATAAATTGAATTTTTAAGCAAAATTTATTTTAATTTTCTTAGATCAACAATACCTATTTTGAATTTAAATTATTTAATAAACTGCAAAACTTGTACTCGTGGCTGCAAAAATTAAATGCTGAGGAATGTCACGTACTTCTTTTATTTGCCATGAATAAAATAATATTTAAAGAGTTGTTATAAGGATAAAAATGCACTTTATACAGTACCAGTATCAAAATTGTGCTTGCGATTATCATATAACATGTATTTCTTATAAGATACCAATACCATACTCACGTATGTCTAAACCTTAATTTTTATGTTGTACGCCTTTTAACTAACTATATAGTACGCCTAATACGTCTAATACGTCTACTACCCTATATACGTAACACGCCCAATATTATTCCGTATCTTACACCTATAATGTTTCTTACACGCTAATTTTTCCGAACCCTACCGGGAATCGAACCCGGACCTTCTGCGTGGAAGGCAACGACCTTAACCACAAGACCACCGTGGCGCTACGATTTGACGTCTTTTTTCGCGTGGCGTCTCGTCACCGTAGTATTAATTACTTAATTAATAGGTAAAGGTACCGCGGAAGAACAATGCGTCTCTTAATATATTATTTGTGGGGAACCCAATAGAGTAGTGGTCAAGGCTGTGGACTGCCACGCGGTGGTCCCGGGTTCGATTCCCGGTGCGGGCGATAGACAATAGAGTAGTAAGCGTAAAATATAGCGTTTAGATAGTAGTATGTAAGGTTTGTAAGGGGTAAAAAGATATGTAGGGTGTATGTTATATATAATAGGTTAATAACAAATAATGATATATATATATATATATATATATATATATATATATATATAAGTATATAATATATATACTCGTATATATATAAATGTAGGAACTGATGGTCTTAGGTATCGTACGGTATGATTAGATAGGTAGTAATCAGATTTAAGTCCTTTAACGTATTGTAATAGATATTGGCTACTTTTATATAGAAAAAGAGTGCGCGTAAGGTTCATTTGCAATTGAAGTAAAACTTATTTGTTACTGTACAAAGTAGCAAATTTAAGTTAAGTAAAAATAAATATATCATATAACAATTTCGAATAATATTTATTAGTGTCAACCATTATACACATTTATATAATGTGTATAAGTATGACTGTATACTTCAAGTATGACATAATCTGTTTGTCATTGTAATTAGCATTTAGAAATCAACCTTCATTAGAGAAATGAAGTAATTGCTGATTAATAACTTCTATAATATTCGTTCACACAGTGGATTATGTTAAACAACGCCTAAACAAATATTGTTTTCGCAACTTCATTCATCATGGAATAATTGTGTTTGAAGAACTTCATGTAATTAAAATGAAGTGAATGATCCGTGCACCCGAAAATGTGACTGGAAATTTGTATCCATACATACATACACACACACACACACACATCCATTTTTCTGAGATATGCCAAAATGTTCAGAAACCTTCAAAACGTCGAGAAATGTAAAAATTTTCAATTTCGATTTTCGGCCCATTGCAATAACTTACCCTATGGAAAATTAACAATAAGTGTAGTTGTTTATCTTCTAACTAAAAATATGTTCTTAACAAATGGTGGAAAGCATGTCGTTCCAAAACGTGGACGATATATTATATTTAACAATCAGCTTTTGACACTGAAATTGGGAAAAGTATGTGGGTGAGAGAGAAAGACTGATGTTTGGTCGGCGTTTTTTTTTCAAAAACGGCTGTACCGATTTCAAAAATTTAGAAGCCTCTTGTTGAAACTCAAGAAAAGAAATCGTCATGATTAGTTGTTTATCTTCTAACTAAAAATAAGTGTGTGTGAGAGAAACTCTGATGTTTCTTCCACTTTCTGTTTAAAATCGGCTGTACTGATTTCAAAAATTTAAAAACCTTTCGTTGAAACTCGATTAGAACTCGCCATGATTAGTTTTGCGAGGACTTGGATCGAACCTTCTATCAACAACTGTGCCAAATTCAGATTCAGAACGACATATAACGTCGAAACAAAATTAACAAGTCGGTGATAAAACCATAAACTTCTCCAAAAAGTTAATAAAAACAATTATATCATATTTATATAAATTAAAAAAATGTTTTATATCATCACCTTCATCAAGTGATACGTTTGGAGCATAGTATGTACGGATCGGAGACCTGGACTATAAGAAAGGCCGATAAGAACTACCTCGAGAGTTTTGAAATGTGGTGCTGAAGAATATAAAGTGGATAGATAAAATAACAAATGAAGAAGTCCTGAGAAAAGTGGGTGAAGAAAGGACTCTACTGAGCACAATTCTGAAAAGAAAAGGAAACTGGATCGGACCTCTTTTGCGAAAAGAGTGCCTCCTGCACGACGTCGTCGATGGTAAAATAAAAGGAACAAAAGGAATGGGAAGAAGAAAAATGCAGACGATTATTATCATCACCTTATGCACTTTATGTTCCTCCTCAGTCAAAGAATATTTTTTCGGTTCTGCACTCAGCTCACCACTAGTCCTTTCAGCCAGGTGCCGAACCAGTTCGGCAGGCGGTTCGTATCCCGGATAACCGGTCGGTGACGGATTCGTACCCTTGCCATATTGACTGGTCGCCGGAATCCTAGATGGCGTAAGTGTTATTGCTTCGTCTTCGAAGACATCATCACTCATACTGTCGTCGGCCTAATAAAAAAAAAAATTTGATTATGTGGTGATAGAAAATAAATTATAGTAATAATAGAGTAACATAAGTGTAGCACCAACAATTAATAAAATTTGTTGCCCTCTTTAAGAGATCAGAGACATGGACTCTAAGAAAGATAAACAAAAATTACCTGCAGAGCTTTCAAATGTCGTACTGGAGACAAATAATAATAATAATAAATGGTAGTCTGCCCGAAAGCCGGTCCATGGTGCGAGAGCCACCACAACAAATAATTCCCTTGTCCCTTGTCTATCATTCCCATTACCACTATTGCCCCTACCCCCATTTTTTACATGTATTTTCCTTTCCGAACTAACTGTACCATGCTCCTGATCCTGCGCTTCGACTTTCAGTTCCCTGTATTTTCTCTTCTCGCGTAAGTGGCCAATCATTTGCATTATTCTTTACTTTCCTTTCATATTCTATTTTGCCCTCGACGACGTCGTGCAGGATGCACTCTTTTTGCAGAACGGATTCGACCAAGTTTCCTTTTCTTTTCAGGATTGTGCTCAGTAGAGTCCTTTCTGTCCACCACTTTTCTCAGGACATCGTCATTTGTTATTTTGTCTTCAACTTTATCTTCTCCATCCGCCTTCAGCACCACATTCCAAAACTCTCCAGGTAGTTCTTGTCGGACTTTCTTAGAGTCCATATCTCCGATCCGTACAGTGCTATGCTACATAATTTATTAGTCTCAGGAGACAAATTGTGAAGATAAAGTTGACAGATAATATAACAAATGAAGAAGTCGGAGAAGAAGAAGAGGACAATTTTATTTATAAGGAGCACCTCAGGTTATCTCTTCTGGGATTTTGATGAAATTTTGCATTGTGATAGAATTGATAGTCAAACTGAATATCTTAAAATATTATATGCCTATGAGAAGTGGTTTAATTATAAAATTTAATTGAAGTTTTCAAAAAAAGGCCGCCAAGGAATATATACGCACACAGTTGATTTGTTAATATCCAATGTAAATACGCATAAAATATGTACTTATAAATTTTATATTGATACGAAACCCTGTAGATTATAATAAATAATTTTTGTACCTAAACCATTTCTCATAGGCCTATAATATTTTACGGTGTTCAGTTTAACTATCAACTCTATCACCATGCGAAGTTTCATCAAAACCCCAGAGGAGTTAACCTGAGGTACCTCTTGTGAGCTCGATCATGAAAAGAAAACTGGTTCGGACCCATACTGCAAAAAGAGTGTTTGCTGCACGATGTCGTCGAAGGTAAAATAAAAAAACTGAGAAGTCTAAGAAGAAGAAGAATGCAAATGATTGACAACTTACGCGAGAAGAGAAAATACAGGTAACTGAAAGCCGAAGCGCAGGATCAAGGAGCATGGAAGCATAAGTTCGGAAATAAAAATACATAAAAAACGTAAAAGGGGGGAAGGTAATAGTGGTAATGGGAATAATAGACGACGAGGGTAAGTGAATCATTTACTTGTGGTGGCTCTCACACCATGGACCTGCCTTCGGACAGACCACCATTTATTATTTTTATTTGTCTCCAGTACGATATTTGAAAGCCCTGCAGGTAGTTTTTGTTTGTCTTTCTTAGAGTCCATGTCTCTGATCCCTTAAGGCTTAAGAGGTCAAAACCTCTCTTGTTGTTGGTGGTGCACCTATCTTACTCTATTCTTACTATAACTTAAGCAAAAGTTTGGAAATAAAAATACATAAAAAAATATAAAAGAAGGGGGAGGGACTAGTGGTAATGGAAATGATAGACGACGGAGAGTAAAGGAATCATTTATTTGTGGTGGCTCTCATGCCATGTACCTGCCTTCGGGCAGAACATCGATAATAATAATAATAATCCAGAGTTGTTCAGAATGTTAAATAAAATTTTATTGATGAATTGAAGAATTTTATCAGTTTGATAATATTTTAATTAAGTGATAAAGCGAATTAATTTAGCTTTTGACTTAATTAAATTTCGTATCTTTTTGTGTGATAAAGAGAATATGTATACATACATACATACATACATACATACATATATATATATATATATATATATATATATATATATATGTATATATAAACGAAATTTGTTATAAATTTTGTCGAAGCTACAAAAGCAAAAATAAAACTGAAGTACTAAAGTCGTTGTATTTTTATTTATTTTATGAAAATAGAGTTTTGTTAATAATTTTATGTAGATTTCTAGCACAACTTTCAAACGTCAAAATATTTTATTCAAATATTAATGAATCATGTACGTAGTTTTACATATTATTTAATGGTTTAAACAAAAGGTTTTTTTTCCAAACCTAGAGAAGTTTTGTAGAGTTTTCATTTACTATTTTGCTTATTCCAAAGGCATTTCTAATTGACTTCATTGACTTATCACATCACAAAAGCAAAAAATTATTAATTAGAAAATTTAAAAAAAAATAATTAGATTAGGAAATAGGAAATTATTACAAAATAATTAAATTATAAAATGTTTTCAAACATTTTTGAATTTTTAAAATTAAACGACTTGTCGTAGGGCCGTAATGTTTCAGTATGTTCTATAACACCATGGTATCTATCGTCAAAAAAGTTGCATAAAAATCGGCAAAAAATTCTTTTAAACAGGTGATTATAAAAAAACGGCTCGGTCGATTTTTACCTAAAACTAATCAGTATCATTCCCAACTAATATCTTTCCAACGTTTTTGATTTTTTAAAATCGATTCGGTTGTATGAGCTTGAATATAGACGAAAAGTTTAACACTTTTTCCCGGTTTCACAGATCGTAGCACAAAACGATAGTCAATGATATGTCAATAGAATGACAAACGATAGTCCTCATTGAGATACATCAAATGGCTTTTAAATTTCTGGAATCGGTTCAGGCGTTTTTGATAAAACGTCAATCAAAGGTCTAATTTCAACAAGTGCCGAAAAAACGATACCAATTTTTGCAGACTTTGACGAATTTTTAGAACTAAACGAGTTGTAGGGAAGTAATATTTTAGTATGATCTATAAGACTATGGTATCTACCGTAAAAAATTCAAAAAACGTCGAAAAATTTTTTTTATTACTTTATTACAAGAAAACGGCCCGGCCGATCTTCGATCGACCGACCAAAAACTAATCAGCACGATTCCCAACCAATATCTTTCGAACGGTTTTTGAATTTCTAAAATCAATTCAGAATTGCGGGCTAAAACGTAGACGAAAAATTTTCACTTTTCTGCGATTTATAAAGAGACGGCTTAGCCGATCGTAGCGCAAAACTGACAAACAATAGTCCTTATCGAGATACATGGGATGGCTTCTAAATTTTTGACATCGGTGCAGCCGTTTTTGAGAAAACGTCGATTTAAGGTAAAATATCTGTAGACACACACACATACTTTTTCCAAATTTGGTCTCATTCGATTCAGAACGGCTTGAAACGTCGAGAACACATAACATTAGCGAATCAGATTTTTTATGAAAACATAAACTTCTTCTTCGGGAAGTTAAATATAATACAGGCAAAACAGTTTTTTTTAAAAAAAAAAAACAGTTTTGTATAAAATTTTATACAGGATTTTAATTTTTCCGACAACTTTCCAAAATTTCCAATTTATAGAAAGTTACAAAAACAAATCAATTAAGAATTTTTTGACTAACAAACTAACAAAAGTAAAATCAAAATTAAACATACTGGAGTCGTCGTAAAAAATATTCAAAAATACAGCTTTGTGGATAATTTTTTACAGATTTCTACATTCTCAGCCAACTTTTTAAAATTTCCACATCATAAAAATTTCCACATCATAAAAAGTTACAAACCAAAAACTAAACAAAAACACAGATCATTCATGAATTGTGTCGACAACAAAGTTACAAATGTAAAAATGAAATTAAACATACTAAAGTCGTCGTAAAATATTTATAGAATAACTGTTTTATAGATAATTTTATACAGATTTCCACATTCTCAGACAACTTTTCAAAATTTCCACTTCACCAAAAGTTACAAACCAAAAACCGAACCCAAACATATCTAACTCACCATATTAAACACCTCGTGTACACCCGAACGTAAAACTTCAGTAAAATAACAAACACATTTAACAATCTTTCACAACAATCACTTTCACATCTTTCAATTTATCTAATTATCTTTATATATCAACAATTAATTAAATTACTATTTATTTAATTAAATTTAATATTGTCGCAGCTGTCAGGCACCAAAACAATCTGATTTTGAGGTTATGTTCAAAGTTGTAAAATTCGTGTTCGCCGATCGATGACGTAAGATGGCGTGCGCAGACTCAGACGAGTGACGTCACGACAATATATATATATATATATATATATATATATATATATATATATATAAATGTATTAAAATGCACTTTATGTGCTCGTAAAAGCATAGTAATGAGATTATATTAAAAGTGAGGTTATGTAACAATTTTATGTGTTACATATATTTAGCTACAATAAAGCTGTGCTTTTTGATAATAATACATGATACTCTACCCGAAGGCAGGTCCATGGTGTGAGAGCCACCACAAATAAATAATTCCCTTACCTTTCGTCGTCTGTCATTCCCATTACCACTTTACCCCTCCCACCATCCTTTTTTTCATGTATTTTTCTTCCTGAACTTGTGCTTCCATGCTTCCTGATCCTGCGCTTCGACTTTCAGTTCCCTGTATTTTCTCTTCTCGCGTCGGTCGTCAATCGTCTGCATTCTTCTTCTTTCCATTCCTCTTAGTCCTTCTATTTTACCCTCGTGCAGAAAGCAGTCTTTTTGCAGAAAGTGTCCTATCCAGTTTCCTTTTCTTTTCAGAGTCGTGCTCAGTAGAGTCCTTTCTTCGTCCACTCTTCTCAAGACTTCTTCATTTGTTATTTTGCTGTGCTATTTACGATAAGATAAAGACTTTGAATTTATCATTTATAGGACATTTTAAAGGTATATAAACCATTTTGTTTCAATCAATTGCTATCGCTGCTCCCCGATACCACAATATATGATACTAATATGAGTTAGTAACGTTAATAAATCCATGTTTTATTCGAGGTTTTGGAGTATAACTTATTTTAGAATAAATATTTTACAAGCAGCATAAGCTTTACATACAATATACTACAAAAAGTTGTTTTTTATAATTTTAATAAACTGCTATTGCTGCTGCCTAATGTTAAACATGTTAAGGAATATTCTTTAGTTCTAAAGGTGTGACTTCTTTTAGAGAACAACTTTTACAAAATTATTTAGACACTTAGCTTCTCCATAAAATTTGCTAAAGAATGGCGTTTTGCGTTTTTGATCAATTGCTATTGCTGCTTCCTGATGCCACCCCATATCCTGAATATATGTTTTTCTTCGATTTTTAAACTATTAGCCTTAAAGTAAAAAAATAACAAAGTTATATTAAAAATTTAGGTTCTCAATTAAATTTTCTACAAAATGGCGTTCTTGTATTTCAAAGAAACTGCCATAGCTGCTTCCTGATGCCACAAGATATCAGGAAACGTTAACGGAGTTGACGAATTTATGTTTTAGATTATAGCTTCGATCTGAGTCGGAAAATTTACAAAATTATGTTACAAACCTAAATTCTACAAAGGGTATTTTCATATTCTTACACAACTGCTATCGCTGCTTCCTAATACCATGTGATGTTAAAAATTTCGTTTTTCGTAATTTCCCGTAGGGTAAGTTATTGTAATCATCCAAAAATTAATATTTTTTGCATATTTTTACGTTTCAGAGGTTTCTGAACATTTTGGCCTACCTCAGAAAAAATGAATGTGGGTGTTGTGTATGTATGAATATAATTTTTCGTCCACGTTTTCGGGCGCACGGATCAACCGATTTGAATGGTTCAAAAAACACTCGATTCCTATTGGTATGGAGATGTGCTCATTAGTTTTTGGCAAAGGCAGGTCTAGCCGTTTCGGAGATACGGAGCAGAGTGCAGAAAATAAAAATAGAGGTTTTGAGAGAACGGAGCATCCGATTTGAACGATCCAAACAACATTCAATTTGTAATGATAGGGAGAAGTGTTGATTAGGTTTTGGCAAAGGCAGGTATAGGCGTTTAGGAGCTAGATTTGCAGAAAATTGCAGTTTTTAAGAGAACTAAGCATCCGATTTGAATGATTCAAAAAACTTTCTGCTTGTGTTGACAAAACGATTTTTTTTGAGGAAAAGAAAAAATATTCTTTTCTCAAAATATTTCTTGAATATTTTCATTGCGGTAGGGAATGTTCCAGCAATTTGCCTTAAAGCGCGATGTCATACACCACTAGTTTACAAATTTATTTCACAACTTACTATGTTTTTGTTCAGTTTTTTCAGCATAACTATTTATACAATAAACATTTTGAAAAACTTTGTTAGAAACATAAATTTTACATTAAATTCATAACAAAACTACGTATTTAAAATTTTTTTAACCGTTATAAAAGTACATTTATAAATTTTCGATTTCGAATTTAATTTTGAGAAATTTATTTCAAACCTAATCAGTGTTTTTAATTCAGTTTTTCAAGCATAACTATTTATAAAATAAAAAATTTGAAAAACTTTGTTAAAAACATAAATTTTACATTGAATTTCTAACAAAAATGGATCTTTAAATTTTTCTAACTGTTATAAAAATATTGTTATAAATTTTCGTTTGCGGATTTATTTTTGAGAAATTTATTTCACTCCTAATCTATATTTTTGTGCAGTTTTTCGAGTATAACCATTTACACAATAAAAATTTTGAAAAACTTCGTTAGAAACAGAACATCTGAACTAAATTTCGCAAAAACTTGTATATTTAAAATTTTTGTAACTATTTTCAAAATATTTTTATAAATTTTTGAATTTCGAATTTATTTTTTTCTGTTTACGATCGCATCTGACAGGTGTTTGGCACGCGTCGGAGGGAACAGAAAAACGTATACATATATACATGTATATATGTATAATATACATATATACATATATACATTGTATATATGTATGTATACAAATATACATACATACATATATACATGCATACATATATACATGTATATAAATGAAGGGATCCTTTCCTATAGCAGATGTTTTTCTTCTGGCCGGCAAGCTGTTGCTTTTGCTTGAATAGAAAATATATTTGTTTGATTTTTTTTGAATAAACGGCATAACCCCGTTAAGACGTTTATATCTAATACAATTTCCCGCATAATACACCACTTTTTGAAGCAAAATTAGGGAGAAACTGATTCGAAAATCAAACTATTTGTTCAAAATTTGTAACAAATCAAAAATTTCCCAGTAAAGTAGTAGGCCGACGCAGTAAACAGAAGTGTGTAGATGCGTCATTTAAGTAAGGATATACAAAATTGTACTAAAATTTAGGTTTGCTTTGTTATTATCGACAAATTTTAAATTTTATATATCTTATTTCGTTTAAAATTTATCAATCTTTATAAAGTAAGTAAGACAATTATGTTCAATACGATTTCCCGCATAATACGCCACTTTTTACAGCACAATTAAGAAGAAACTCATTCAAAAACCAAACTATTTGTTCAAATTTTGTAAATAACCGAAAATTTCTCAAAAAAGTAGTAGGCCGGCGCAGTAAACAGAAGTGTGCAGGTACGTCATTTTCATCAGTTAATATAAAATATCGGCTTGCATTATCATTATCGTTTAATTTAAAATTTCATATATTTTAATTCGTTTCAAATTTATCAATCTTTGTTACCCTCGTTAAGACAATTATGTTTAATGCCATTTCCCGCTTAATACACCACTTTTTACAGCAAAATTAAGAAGAAACTGATTCAAAAACCAAACTCTTGGTTCAAATTTCGTAAATAACCAAAAATTGCCCAGAAAAGTAGTATAGACCGACGCAGTAAACAGAAGTGTGCAGGTGCGTCATTTTCATCAGGCAAAAATAAAAAATTGACTAAAATTTCGGTATGCAATATCATTATTGACTAATTTTAAATTTTATATTTCTTACTTCGTTTCACATTTATCGATTTTTGTAGAGTTGTACCCCGTTAAGACAATTATGTTTAATACTATTTCCCGCTTAATACGCCATCTTTTACAGCAAAATTAAGAAGAAACTGATTCAAAAACCAAACTCTTTGTTAAAATTTTGTAAATACCCAAAACTTTCCCAGAAAAGTAGTAGGCCGACGCAGTAAACAAAAGTGTGCAGATGCGTCATTTTCATCAGACAATATAAAATTGTACTAAACTTTCGGTTTGCATTATCATTATCGACTAATTTTAAATTTTATATATCTTATTTTGTTTCAAATTTATCAATCTTTGTAAAGTAGTACACCGTTAAGACAATTATTTTTAATACGATTTCCCGCTAAATACGCCACTTGTTACTGCAAAATTAAGAAGAAACTCATTCAAAACCAAACTATTTGTTTAAATTTTGTAAATAACCAAACATTTTTCAGAAAAGTAGTAGGCCGACGCAGTAAACAGAAGTGTGCAGGTGAGTCATTTTTATCAGGCAATATAAAATTTCGGTTTGTATTATCATTATCGACTGATTTTAAATTTTATATATCTTTCTTTTAAAATTTATCAAGCTTTGTAAAGTAGTACCCCGTTAAGACAATTATGTTTAATATGATTTCCCGCTTAATTCGGCACCTTTTACAGCATATTTTTATCACTTTTTTTTAGTAAAATTAAGGAGAAAACTCATTTCAAAATCAAGCTATTAGTTTTGAATTTTGTAATTTTTTTAGGAAAAAATTAAGTAGTAGGGGAATTAAGTAGTAAACTTTATCGAATTTTAGATAATTTTACTCTGAAATATATTAAGTATTATATATTGCTGAAAAGTACATTACATTTTCTACTAAATTCTTCAACTATAAATATATAATTCCTTTGAAAAATATAGGAAAACACGCTCGAACAAACATGTGAAATTGAAAGTACTCACGTATTTTTTTCAAACTTTTGTAAATATTTATAAAACTTGTTTCGCAAAGTATTAAATATTTTTATATCGTTAAAAAGTACATTAAATTCTTCAAAAAATACTTCTTATAAAATATCATTTTTATTTCAAAATATAGTAAAGAACTGAAAAACTCACATTCAATTGC